CCTCTAAAGTCTGGTTTGAACAAACTGCTATTAACATTTTCCAATAGTTTCTGATAGATTACTAGATGGAAACCTCTAAAGTCTGGTTTGAACAATCTGCTATTAACATTTTCCAATAGTTTCTGATAGATTACTAGATGGAAACCTCTTTGCTAGAGGCCTATTTCTGGATTCTCATTTTGAAAGTACTTATGGATGATTGGAAATTTATGAAGCAATTCCCTGAGTGAAACTGTTGCCAAGCTATAAACTCACCAAGGCCAAGTTCACCCCAAAATAAGCAAAGGAAGGTTCGCTAAGTGGTGGAAAGATGGCTAAGTTATAATAATATATGGGTGATCTGGTACATCTCTCTAGAGTCTTCAGTTGGCCCACAAGAAGAAATGCACATCTACTAACAACTAACATTACTTCATGAGCTGCTTGCAGTTTTAAGAATTCCTTTAGAAATCTTGGTCTGATGAAACATTTTATAAACTCAAAACAAGTCAATTCTTTTCAAATTAAGTTGTCTTCTCATTGAACTTCTGAGTATGTTTCTTTCCCAGCTTAACAGATATGAAGAATCAAATCTTTTGTTTAAAAACTCACAGTACGAAATAGTACAATCACTTTGAAAAACAATTTGGAAGTTTCTTTAAAAGGTAAACATGAATTTATCATATGACCTAGCAATTCCACTCCTAGATATCTACTCAAGAAAACTGAAAGCATATATCCACACAAAAACTTATATACAAATGTTCATAGCAACATGATTCATAAAGCCACAAAATGGAAAACATATGTATCCATCAAGGGATGAGTGGAAAAACAAAAGTGGATAGATGCACAAATGGATTAGTATTTAGTCACAGAAAGGAATGAGTGACTGGTACATATAACAACATGGATGATCCTCAAAATTTGGCTAATATTTTAGGAGGAAAGGCTAGCTGCAAAAGACTATGTATTGTACAACTCCAGTGGGGTAAGCACCGGGCTGCTAAATGAAAGGGTGGTGGCTAAAACCCATGAGCCATTCTGCAGGAAAACAACAAGGCAGTCTGCTTCTGTAAAGATTTATAGCCTTGGAAACCTAATGGAGTAATTTGACTCTATCTTACAGTGTCGCTTTGGGCTGGAATCAATGCCAAGTTTTTTTAGTGGGTTCCATTAATATGACATGTCCAGAAAATATTAACCTATAGAGACAGAAAACAGATTAGTAGTTGGCATGGTTTGGGCTCGGGGTGAGAATGGTACTTAACTGGAAATGAACACAAAGAATCCTTTGAGGTAACGTGGTGGTGGTTATGGGCCATGGAGTCAGTTCCCGACTCATAGTGACCCTGTACAGGGTTTCTGAGGCTGTAGATCTTTACTGGAGCAGAAAGCCTCATCTTTCTCCCATGGAACAGCTGGTAGTTTCGAACTGCTGACCTTGAGGTTAGCAGCCCGATTCGTAACCACTAAGCTACCAGAGCTCCTTAGAAGTGTTCTAAAACTTGACAGTACTGATGGTTGCACAGCTCTGTACATATACTAAAAATCACTGAACATTGTTGTTGTGAAGCGCCGTCAAGTCAATTCCGACCCATAGCGACCCTGTATAGGGTTTCCAAGGAGCAGCTGGTGAGTTTGAACTGCCGACCTTGCAGTTCAAATGGCTTTGCAGTCTAGCGCATTAACCCACAGCGCCACACCAGGACTCCGAATGCTACATTAGAACGGGTCAATTTTATAGTATTACTATCAGAAGCTGGAAAAATTGCTTGCTAATCTAGGCCTCAGTTTCCTTATCAGTATAATGAGTGTTGGACTAGATTAGATCATCTCTAAAGTGCCATCTGGTTCTGCTCATTCTGATTTCTTTGTGACATCTTGCAACCACCAGACCTCTGATATGTCATTCCACAGATTATTTTGTTTGAGGAAAATCTGGAATTTCAACACAAGTCCTGGCTTGTGAGACCGCCATACCATGCTGCTAAGGGCTGGTACATTCCAGCAGCAAGAATTCTGGAACAATTACAGTAGTTGCTAAAGGCTAGCAACTAATTCCCAACTGTCCCCGACAGCAACACCTCAAATTCTACACTTCCACATACACTTACATATGTTCATCCTTGTCCCTTTACAGGCGGACAACATCACTCATCTATTAGCAAATACTAAAAACCAGTTGCTGTGAAATCAATTTCAACTCATGGTGAACATTTCAAAGTAGAACTGTGCCTCACAGGGTTCTCAGTGGATGATTTTTTTAGGGAAGTAGGGTTGCTATGTGTCGGTACCGACTCCATGGCACCTAACAACAACAAAATTGCCAGGCCTTTCTTCCTAGGAGCCTCTGCACCATCAAGGGATACCATCATGCTGTTGTGTTCCATAAAATCAGTTCCCATTCACAGCGACCCTTTATAGGGTTTCCAAGACGTACTGGTGGGTTTGAACAGCTGACCTTGGAGTTAGTATATAGTAAATATTTAATAAATCTCTAGCTATTCAAAGTTGCTTGGTGCCCCTCTCTGAACCTACAGGGTTTCTGTATACCTCTGAAGAACTTTCCCACTTTCTATTTTGTTTTATAACTGTTTAATGTTAACGTCTTATACTCCCAAAGATCGGAAGCTTTTATAAAACCAGCGCTGTCTTGGTCTTATATGTGTCCATTACTAAACTCAGTTTATGCTAACTAGTCAATAAATCCTTCCTTTCTGAATGAAAATAAAGCTAGTGGAGCAACTTGAATGGTCACTGCTAGCTGGCCTCTAAAACCGGATGGATAGAGGAGCAAGGGGAAATGGTAGGAGTCTGCTTAATTGTTGTTAAGTGCTGTCGAGTTGGTTCCGACCTGTAGCAACCCTGTATAGAGTTTGCGAACAGCAGCTGGTGAGCTTGAACCGCCGACCTTGAGGTTCAAACAGACTTTGCAGTCCCGCGCATTAACCCTCAGCGCCATACCAGGACTCGCTTAATGACAGTGGGTATTATACTTCACTTGCCAGGTACTGTGCTAAATGCAGTTTCATCCCTTATTCCACTTAATCCTTTCAAAAAACCCCTCACAGAGTAGGTTTTACAACTCTCCTCTCCATTTTACAAATGAGGATTCAGGCTTAGAGAAGTCAAGAAATTTGCCTAATGTCTCAACCAAGTTTATTTGGTCTTTTCCGTACTGTTTTAGTCGCCTGCCCTCTTTCCATTTTATCACTAGATATAGATGGGGCTTTCCTCCAAAATTAAGGACTTCCTATGATGACAAAGGAGCTCTGGTAGCGTAGTGGTAACGAATCGGGCTGCGAACCTTAAGGTCAGCGGTTCGAAACTACCAGCCGCTCCGCGGGAGAAAGTTGAGGCTTTCTACTCCCGTAAAGATTTATACCCTCGGAAACCCTGTACAGGGTCGCTATGGGTCGGAACCGACTCGATGGCACTTAACAACAACAACAACAACATGATGACAAAACGCAGCCGCCAAACTCTTGGACCCCGTGAGTTGCGTCTAGTCCTTCGCTAACTGAATCACTTGCACAGTACGCATGGCGAGGTGTACCTTTTCCGACGCTTCGTCGCTAGTGATGTCATCACGCAGGGCCAAGGCGGTGCCGCCGCCGCGTCCTTTATATAAGGCCTTCCGAGCGTGCGCAAGCGCGCTCGAGTGCGGAGAGTGGGGTGGAGTATTGGGGGGCCTTGGCCCCGGCCGGAGCCGCCGTGGACCACGAGGTGGGCGGAAAAGCTGGCTTGCTCTGGAGACGCAGAAGGGAGGGCGCTGCACTCCCGACAGGCGCTTGTGAGGGGCGGGAAAAGAGCATGGCGTCTCCCTTGACCGGGCCAGGACCTCTGCTCCCAGCTGGCGCGACCTCTTCAGTTGCCCCTTTTTACCTCCCTTCCGGGAACCTTGTTTCTCTTCTGCTTTCGTCACCTTCTGCCGGGGTTTTTTCCTCCCCCCTTTACTAATCTCTCCTGCCTTGCCCTATAGTTGATAAAAAGTGTAACTAAGTGGGAGACCGACTCCTAAATTTGCTTGTTAGGTTTTCACATACCACTGTATGCGTTCTCCGGGGGAGTGATGGCGCATTGAGTAGGAAATAGCCCTGGTGCCTTTAGGTGATCCTGTGAAATGTGACATAAGTTGCCAGGACCTGTCTCCTGAAATGTAAGGTTCTCGTCGAAAGACCCTCCCAGCCTAAGATGCTTGATATCCAGGAAGCTGGTGTCCGGCATTGCCTGCCTGAGCCGTCCCCTTAGCCGCGTTATGATCGGAAAGACGAAGGAAGATCTAGCTGGACTGTAAAGGCAGCTGAGTACAGACCGCGTTTCGTGCTGTAAAGTGATGTAGTGTGTAAGCAATAAGAACACCGTTTTGTTTCAACTCCAGTTTCCTAAGTGAGTGCCCTATGAGTGATGCTCCTGGCCATAAGTTACTAGGGAAAGGACTCATTCTATGTCCTCAGGGCTGCTCTGCTGCAGAGAACCTTGGGAACCTGCTGTACTTGATGTCAGTCGGTGGAGGATACCAGCTGAGGAGAGTTACTTCCTCCCTTGAGTTAATAGCACCTCCCTGTGCCTGCAGATCACCTGTTTTTAATCATGACCTCTTGTTTTTCCACAGTTGAGTGTAGATTCTGAAGGGGTCCTGCCTCCATTGGAGTCAGGCAGCAGAGTTGTGATAAAGAGTGAAGGACAAATCTAGGAATTATGAGCGCCAACATGGTCATGGGTGAACCAAGGCTGAACTGGTGAGTTGCATCTGTTTGTTATCCCATAAAGAGAACTGAAGGGGGTCTGGTGGGTAGAATAGCAAAGGATTTATGACCTGGAGAGATTTGGAGGAAACAGGAGATACAAGTTCAGGGCCTGGGAATTTACCTATCCTCAGCACTCAGATCATTAGCTGTGATTCCATCATATATATATATATATATATATATATATATATATATATTTGATCTCTTAGCAAAGGAGGGATGTTGGAAATTTACCTTCTTATGTTTTAGAACCATGCCAATTTCCACATAACTAATAAAAAACACCCTTTTAAGAATATATTATTAAGTGCCTACCAGCCGGGTCTGACTCATAGTGACCTTCTATAGAGTTTGAACTACCAACCTTGTGGTTAGCACTCCAGTGCTTAGCCTACAGCTCCACACAAGGACTCCAAATCTTAGAAGCTGAATTATATGAAAAAGAATGTTTCTGAGATTGTAAATCTTTACAGAAGCAGAAAGCCTCATCTTTCTCCTGTGGAACAGCTGGTAGATTCAAACTGCTGACCTTGTGGTTCGCAGCCCAACTCGTAACCCACTACACTTACAGTTGTTGCTGTAGTTAAGTGTCATCAAGTTGGTTCCAACCCTTAGTGACCCTGTATAGAGTTTCCAAGGGGCGACTGGTGAATTTGAACTACCAGCCTTGCAATTCAAACAGACCTTGTGGCCGAGTGCTAACCTACAGTGCCACAGCAGCACTTCACTCCACTCTCAGAACTTCTTAAGTCTATACAAGCCCCTGCTGTTATATTGAGTATAGGGAGCCCTGGTGGTGCTATAGAATTAGCACTGGACTATAGCCACAAGGCTGGAGGTTCAAACCTACCAGCCACTCCACAGGAGAAAGATGAAGCTGTCTACTCCTGTAAAGATTATAGCCTCGGAAAAGCCTTGTATAGGGTCATTTGTGAGTCAGAACCGACTCAATAGCAGTGAGTTAGTTTTTTTATGTCAAGTATTAATGTAATTGTTGTTGTGAAGTGCCGTTGAGTCGGTTCCGACCCATAGCAACCCTGTATAGGGTTTCCAAGGAGCAGCTGGTGAGCTTGAACCGCTGACCTTGGAGTTCAAATGGCTTTGCAGTCTGGCGCATTAATCCACAGCGCCACGCCAGGACTAATGTAATTACATATGCCTTATTTTAGAGGTGAATGAGAACTTTGCTAATACAGCGCCTAGTTAAGTAGTGCATTAATTTTATAGGGATCTAACTAATATATGGAGCGCAGTGGTTCCATACAAAAAGCAGTAGACTGCATGCGAACCACAAGGTCCGCAGTTCAAGACCACTAATGGCTCCACAGGAGGAATATGAGACTTTCTGCTCCAGTAAGGATTTTAAAATCTTGGCAACCCTGTACAGGGTCGCTATGAGTCGCAACCGACTCGACGGCACTTAACAACGACAACTAAAGCATGTGCTGCTTTAATTCAATGTAGTACACATTTACTGGGCATCTGCTCCTTTCTAGCCGTAAGTAGGGAGATGCAAACATTAGAAGAGGTTATTAAAATGATCAAAATAGTACCAGAATCAAAGATTAAGTCAGTATTTGCTCAGTAGTAGTTGTTTATTGCAAAAAATGTTCCCATTCCCAAGGGGCTGGAAGTCCCTGAGGCTCATGACTGTTCTGTGGGATATGCAGAAATCTTAGATCTTAAAGAGACATCATAGATATAGTACCATGGCCAGGTCATAAGAAACTCTACACCGGTGCATTGTTGTTGTTATGTGCCGTGGAGTCGGTTCTCATAGTGACCCTGTACAGGGTTTCCGAGGCTGTAAATCTTTATGGGAGCAGAAAGCCCTATCTTTCTCCCACGGAACAGCTGGTAGTTTCAAACTGCCGACCTTGTGGTTCGCAGCCCGATTTGTAACCACTACGCTACACAAATGAAAAACTCCAGCTTAACTATTAATACCTTAGTCATAGTACTTTGGGTACCAAAAACCTATCGAGTGGATTCTGAATCAACAAGTCCATAGGACAGAATAGAAGTGCCTCTTAGGATTCTTTTTAAACATCTTTATGGAAACATTCCAACACATCTTTCTTCCATGGAACAGCTGATGGGTTCAAACCACCAACCTTTTGGTTAGAATGTAAGCATTTAACCAACAGTAAGAATTGGTATAGAGCAAAATGCTAGCGCTTTTGCTTATTAGTTATGTTTTGAGAATGGGCCAGTGAGAAGTTGGGATTTGATTAGATTGTTTCACTACTGTAGGTTTTAAGGGGTATGCATTGCATTCCTTTTCACTGCCATCAAGTATGTGTTCAGAGACAGCACCGATGTTGTAAAACCAAATACAGTTTAGATCTCCCTTTCCTACCAAAACCTATTAATCTTTTTCTTCTCTAGATTAGTGGTTCATAGTGTTAGTAATTTTTTAATTCCTTCATTCAGCCAGCATCTACTGAATGCAAAGTGTTAACTTGGAAAGACCAGTCTCTATGTTATGTTAAGAAAAATCAAAGAAGTATCATCACCTTTGAGGTGATTTTAGCAAAATTACACCATTTATCCCATTTGCCAAGTTAACGGAAATAGGTTGAACACTGAATCTTTGTAGTGTAGTCTCTTGACCTGACACAATAGTACATGGAATAAAAATAAGTTCAGAAGCATTTTCCTTCAACCTTCAAATCTCTTAACGTTATGCCTCACAGCCAGAGGTGAGCCCTGCCCCGACCCGCCCTTCATTCTACTTCATTCGGTCCTTACTCTCAAGTCTCTCTAGCATTTATTTAATTGGATACTAAAAAAAATACAAGCAAGGCTTGCTTATTGTTGAACTGGAGAATTTCAAAACGGACCTAGGGTGAAAGCTATCTGAGAAGTAAAACATCTAAAAGTCGTAGATTTGGTAGATGGAATTCGAATGCTGAAGAGGTGATTATCTGGGAAAGGGGTAAATTACAAATTAATATTGTACCATGTGATTTTAAGTTATCAAATGCAAGTGAATTACTTTGTTTCACAGGGACATTTCCCCAAAAAATGGCCTTAAGACATTTTTCTCTCGAGAAAATTATAAAGATCATTCCATGGCTCCAAGTTTAAAAGAACTATGCACTTTATCTAACAGGTAATTTATTTCTATTTTTCTGATAATGTGTATATTCAGTACTCTATGATAACCATAATTCCGGACCTTTTTCTGTATATGCGCATGTTTGTATACATCTATACAGAAGGGGACTTCGGAGGGTTCATGGAAAACCGGAATGAAAAGATAATGGAATTTTTCCATGAACCTTTGATGCACCCTCATACATAAATCTTTCTACAATTTTAAAACAAATGGAGTTACACTGTAACACTTTTTGCAGTTTACTCTTTTCATTTAAAGGGTATTTTATATATTTTTCCATGCTCATACAGATAGCTTAGTCTTTTTAATGGTTGCATATTACTTCATTATATAGAAGTATTTTTAATTCATTTAGCTAGTTCTCTATTACTAAATGTTTTGTTCTTCCCCTATTTTTGTAATTATGGGTAATATGTTGGTCAACTTTTTATCATTATTTCAATGAGAGTAAACGTAGAAATTGATTTGTTTGGTTAGATGATATGTATATTGTATAATAGATAATGTCAAAGGTTTTTTCTCTCTGGTATCAAAGTGCCTATTACATGATCATACTCACTTTTCATTGTTCATCTGCCTTTGATGTTAGCTGCCATTGAGTGGTACCTACTCATAATAACCCTAAACACAATAGAACAAAACATTACCCGGCCCTGTGCCAACCTCACATTCGTTGCTATGTTGGAGTTCATTGCTGCTTCCACTGTGCCAATCCATCTCATTGGTGGTCTTCCTCTTTCTCTCCATCCCAACACCATAACTCAAATGCATCAATTCTTCTACAGTCTCCTTCCTTATTCACGGTCCAACTTTCACATGCGTATGAGGTTGTTGAAAATACCGGAGCTTGAGTCAGGTGCACCTTAGTCCTCAAGGTAACATCCTTGCTCTTGAACACTTTAAAGAGGTTTGTGCAGCAGATTTTCCTAATGTGATACGTTGTTTGAATATTGAAAGTGCTATGGACTGCCAGAAGAACCAATAGGTCTGTTTTGGAAGAAGTGCAGCCAGAGTGCTCCTTGGAGGCCAAGATGGCCATTCGCTATCAGTGATGTTTGCAGCTGTTTTTGCATTGTCTTTATGAAAATTTTATTTGCATGTGATATTAATGGTATTGTCCGATGATTTCCTCGTTCCGTTGGATCATTTCTTTTTGGAATGGGCACAGATATGCATCCTCAGATGGCCAAGTAGCTGTCTTCCAAATTTCTTGGCAATGATTAATGAGTGCCTCCAGTGCATCAGCTTTCTGAAAGATTTCTATTTCTGTTCCATCAATTCTCAGAGCCTTGTTCTTTGCCAATGCTTTCAGTGTACCTTGAACTGCTTCCTTCAGTATCATTGGCTCTTGATCATATGCTACCTCTTGAAATGGTTGGCCATCGACTGCTTCTTTTTGGTATGGTAACTCTGTGTATTCCTTCATCTTCTTTTAATGCTTCCTGCATTGTTCAATATTTTTGCCTATATTGTTGTTGGTAAGTGCTGTCAAGTCGGTTCCGACCATAGCAACCCTGTAAAGGGTTTCCGAGGAGCATCTGGCGAGCTTAAACCTCCGACCATGTGGTTCAAATCAACTTCGTTGTCCAGCGCATTAACTCACAGCACCACACCAGGACTTCATTTTACCCGTAGAATCCTTTATTATTGCAATCAAGGCTTGAATTTTTTCTTCAGTTCCCTCAGCTTGTGAAATACTGAGCATGTTCTTCCCTTTTGGTTTTCTAGCTCCAGGTCTTTGCACATTTCATTATAATATTCGACTTTGTTCATTGAAATTTTCTGTTTAGCTCTTTTACCTCCTTGTTTCTTCCATTTACTTTAGCAGTACTACTCTGGAGAGCAAGTTTCAGAGTCTCTTCTGACACCCATTTTGATCTTTTCCTTCTTGTTTTCTTAATGACCTTTTGCTTTCTTCTTGTATGGTGTTCTTGATGTCATCCCACAACTCCTCTGGTCTTTGGTCTTTAATGTCTAATCATCAGATCTGTTCTTCAGAGCTCTGAATTCATGAGGGATATGTTCAAGGTCATATTTTGGCTCTTGTGGACTTGTTTTAATTTTCTTCAGCTTCTCCCTTAACTTGCATATGAGCAATTGATGATCTTTTCTACAGTCTGCACCTGGCATTGTTTTGCCTGATGGTCTAGAGCTTTTCCAGCATCTCTTTCCACAGATGTACCCAGTTTGATTTCTGTGCATTCCATCTGGTGAGGTCAGTGTGTATAATTATCTTTTACATTATTCAAATAAATGTATTTTCAATGAAGAAGTCATTGGTCTTGCAAAATTCTGTCATGTGATCTCCAGCATCATTTTTATCACCAAGGCCATGATTTTCCAACTACTTATCTTTCCTTTTGTTTCCAACCTTTGCATTTCAATCACCAGTAATTATCAATTCACCTTGATTACATATTTGATCAATTTCAAACTGAAGAAGTTGATAGACTTCTTCAATTTCATCATCCCTGGTATTAGTGGTTGGTGTGTAAGTTTGAATAACAATGGTTTTAACTGGTCTTCCTTCTGGTGGTGGTGGTTATGTGCCATGGAGTCGGTTCTGACTCATCAGCGACCCTGTACAGGGTTTCTGAGGCTGTAAATCTTTACAGGAGCAGAAAGCCTCATCTTTCTCCTGCGGAACAGCTGGTAGTTTCAAACTGCTGACCTTAAGGTTCGCAGCCCAATTCATAACCACTACACTATCAGAGCCCAATGGTCTTCTTTGTAGGTGTATGGATATTATCCTATCACAAACTTCTTTGTACTTCAAGACAGATCTTGATATGCTGTTTTTGATGATGAATACGATGCCATTCCTCTTCAATTTGTCATTCCAGCATAGTAAACCACGTGACTGATAGATTCAGAATGCTCATTACCAGTCCATTTCAGCTTACTCTAATACCTAGGATATCATTGTTTATGTGTTACATTTCATTTTGACAATTTCCAGTTTTCCTAGATTCATACTTATGTACATTCCATGTTCCAGTTGTTAATTGATGTTTACAGCTATTTCTCTTCATTTTGAATAGTGCCTCATCAGTAAATGAAGGACCCAAAGGCTTTACTCCATTCACATCATCAGTGAACTCTACTTTAAGGTGGCATCTCTTCCTCAATTGTGTTTTGAGTGCCTTCCAACCTGAGGGACTCATTTTCTGGCAGTATATCTGATAATGTTCTGGTGCTATTCATAGTGCTTCAGTATTCAGTATTCTGGTGCTGACAGTGTTCACTGCTATTCATAAGGTATTCAGTGACTAAATATTCAGAAGTAGTCTGTCTCTCCTTCCTAGTCTGTTTTAGTTTGGAAGCTCATCTGAAACCTGTCTACCATGGTTAACCCTTTAGCAGTTGGGTTTTTTTTTTTTTTTTTTCTTTCTCTCTCTTTATAATCTAGTGTGGTTGAATCTTGAAATCAAGTAGTGGCATTTATTTAAAAAAGTGTACAAGTACACCAAATAAAGAATTAGGAGAACTTAGTATTTACTTTCATTTTTGTGCTGTGCTTCTACCATGGAGAAAGCATATCTTCTTTCACAGCCCGATCCTATATTATTCAAATTCCCATTCAGGGAACCCATCTCTTCCTGTGTTTTTATATCCATATTATCAACCCTTTGTTACTTTAATATCTCTGGTCTCTTAACTTTTTTTTTTTTTTTTAAATCATCTCCATCAGTATTGAAAAGGTATCATGTTTGTCCTCTTGTAAACACATACTTCAAGATTACATTCTCTTCTGTTTGCTATGTTCTCTCACTTAGCCTTCTTTAAAGACTGGCCCATGCCTACTGTATTCTCATACCACATCCCAGGCTTTTGCTTTTCACTGGAGGATCCACTCTTATCCGGCTTTCACCCTCACTGCTCTGTTAGAATGACTCTTCTCAGGGTCATCCGTGAACACATGGCTGACAAGCTAGCTCGCTCTCCTCATTTTCCTCCCAGCTCCTGGTTACTTCTCAGTCTTTTGTCATCTTCCTCCTTAGCCTTCCCATTCTGGTTGATCACTAGGTTACTGTGGAGTTTTTCCACTCAACCAAATCTTTTGTAACTGAACCTCTGATGATGTGTCTGTGTAATGAAATCAGTCTATAATTACTGAATATAATAATAGACCTACAGGCTTATAAAAACAGAAATTTATTGTCTGATAGTTCTGGAGATTAACAGTCCAAAGCAACATGCTAGGCAGGATATGTTCCCTCTGAAGTTTTTATGGGAAGATTTCTTGTCTCTACCAACTTTTGGTAGCCCCCAGGCATTCCTGGACTTCTGAATACAGCTTTACGTGGCTATCCTTCCTCTGCCCAACTTGGGATTGGCTCTATGCTTTTAGTATGATGAAAACACTCAAATTGTATTAGGACTCATGTGTACTCTAATGTGTCTCATAGTTACTAATAATATCTTCATGTTCAGAGGTACCAGGTTTTAGGACACAAACCTATCTTCTTAGGGAATACAGTTCATTCCATAACAGTGTTGAATGGAAGGGTGTATAGTGGATTATAGGCTCCAAGAAAACAGCAACAAGATTGATTAAGATGATCAATACTTATTCTTTTCTGTGCTAAGAATGATTCCAAGTGTTTTACAGTTATTACCTCATTTAATCATCAGAACAGCCTATGAAATATATATAATTCTCCTTCCTTAAAAAAGTAATATAAAATAGACCCGTAATAGTATTAAAATAGACCTTTATTGTAAAAGGAGTCCTGATGTGTCGCTGTGTATTTATGCGCTAGACTACAAAGCCGTTTGAACTGCAAGGTTGGGGGTTCAGGCTCACCAGCTGCTCCTTGGAAACCCTATACCGGGTCACTATGAATCAGAAATGGCTTGACAGCACTTAACAACAACAATACTGTAGAAGGACTTCTGGTGTCATGCTGTAGGATCAGCACTGGACTGCGAACTACAGGGTCTGCAGCTGAAACCCATCAGCTACTCCTAGGAAACCCTATGTTGGGTCACTG